TTGGGTTTTCGAAGCCCTTATTGAACTATGGAAAAGATCATAGCTCAGATGGTGAACCTCTGCATTCCTGCTAATAATTAAGATGCAATCTCGGGTTGCAGCAGCAGATCAGGGTAGGAAGCCGAGGAACGGGTGTTGTGAAAGGGTCGGGATATTGATCCAAAGGTCGCTGGAAAAAAATAACTGCTCCCATCGGTGGGCACGATAAAGAACTTCATTAACTCCAGCGTGTCAGTAGCAGTCACACTTCTGCTAGAGTTATTGCATGTCCTACCCGTTGCTGTAAATCAACCGGCTGGCCAAAGAAAGAAGCTGTTGGCGATTCATAAGCAACATACCTCAGCAGTGGAGGAAATCGGAAATATTGTCCTAGAAGAATAGCTCCTGATGTCACTTTCATTTTCGTCAATGAGCACCTCTCTCCGCGATTAAAGTGGACAAGCGAAATGATTTAGAAAGGCAGGAAGCAGTTCATGAACCAAGCATACAAGCTTGGAAAGTATTAAGCCCAAAGTGCAACGTAACAGATACCAGTGCATGAATATGTACCTACCGAAAGCAAGAGTTCAACATGTCCTCCCCTAGTTAGTAGTGAGTTAAGAAAGAGCACGTTAGTACCAGTCTAGCCACGCGCTGATCCTTATTATCAATCAACTTGGCAGTAACCGGCCCTAAGTGCCCAATGATTCCAATGAGGCCGGTTCATTGTAGCCGCTCCAGCTTTCTGAAGAGCGCAGTCTTCTCTAAATCACAATCCAAAAGAGAGGCAAGAGCATGCCACCCTGCAGCGTTCCCCTGCTGATTCTAAGCTGAATGGCTAGGGCAGTTCTATTGCAGAGCATGCGGTACATAAATTTTTTAGGTCGATTTCGACTCCTAACCTATGAAGGGATATTTTCTGTCGACTTCAAGATCCATTGAACTGATGCGCTGAACCCGACACTGCTCATTAAAAGCAGTAAAATTAAAACATTAAAACATTAAAAAAACCAAAAAATGCTAGTAGACTGCTTAGTGCCAAAATTTAATCTGAGAATGTAGCATATAAAAGGCCACTAGACTTGCGACGTGCCTTCGATCAAAGTATCTAAGTTTGAAGTAAGTATTTATCATTTCCATGTGCAGCAATTAAGAATTTGATGATAATGTTGGCAAGCTTTGAAAATTGCATTTAGCATAAATGTAAGTAGTTACTACATACAAAAGATAATTGACGCACACAATTGCGATGCTTAAGTGCTTAAAACTATAAAGCTAAACTTTTGCTCTAATCAAAAGCTATATATGCTGCGATTCAACTAAAACTTGTATGTATACATTATTGTCTATTACGCATACATACATATGTTATGCATGTTTATTTTTGTTTGTGGCTTATTCATCACACATTAAATTTAGCAAGGACATTGGCTCGGCATGCGCTTTTAACTCATTTGTTGCATCCAATTACGTTAATTGCAAAATCTCTAAAGTTCGCCAAAAAGTTCAAATTGTTGTCGGCTCTATTAGCAACATCTTTCAGTTTATAACAGACTAAAGTTTGTATTCATATAATCATACACACACACATACATATATGTACATTTATTACGCTATTAAGTGTTCTATTCGTTACACCCTATTTCTTTCACAGTCATGAAATTGTGCGCAATTGCTCGTCTGTTTTCTGAAATTGAAGGTTAAAACTTTTGGCTGACATTAATTAACGATTCCGATTCAGTTGTGCTGGCGGGTATGCTTTGTGAAGGGCGGAAATGTAAGCGAATGTGTATACTATATGCATGTGAATGAGGCATTGTGGTCTCCAGCATGTCAGCTGTGATTTGATTAATTATTCCGCTGCCGGATACTGACAACTGTAACTAGACCGATATTCTTCAATTAATTTTTTATTTATAAGGAGTAGCTGTAACTTAGCTTTTGCTCATTTTACAAAGAAATTTAGCTATTTAATATCCACTAACAACATATTTAGCTTAACAAAAAAAATTTTACTTAATGTGCCCAATTTATAGTCGGGTAGTTGAAGTTAAATAAAATAAAGAGTCAACCTTTGAATCGCGGTCCAAAATTTGGATTCAGCCGCGAAAATATCCAGCCCTAAATGCGATAAATATTTAAACGAAATCTTTTTAAAAAATGTTATATCCTTGATGCTGAGCTGATGTATTAAATTCAATTGGTTGGTTCATTCTTATTGGACTTTTATTGCAGAGGCATAACTATTACAAAGGAAAATAATAAAGATGAATCAATAATTACTATAGTAAGATACAAATTTTTAGAATCAATTATTCGTAGACTTATATTTAAAAAAGCTTTTTTACAGTAATTATGAGTGAGAGCTTTTGTTTAAGTCTTTAAGGACGGAACTTGTTCAGTACCAATTCGGGACTACATAGTTCAGGACGTTTTCGGTACATTTTCAGTACCTTTTCGTCATATTTTCGGCGCTCTTTCCGTGCATTTTCGTTATCTTTTCGTTACTTCTTCGGCATCACTTCCGAATTGGTCCCGAATTGTTTTCGAACTAGTCGCAATCCGATATGATTCCGAGCTGGTCCCAAAACGGTGCTGAACATGTTCCGCCCTTAAAGACTTAAACAATTTTTTCTCACTAAAAATGATTATGGAAAGACTTTTATAATACAGATCTCACACTAAAAGTCTTTGAAGACTTAAAAACCGTATCTCGGTAATAATTATTATGAAAAGTTTTTATACTTTAAGTCTCAAAATAATAGTTATCGAAGACTTAAAAAAAAATTCTCACACATACCCTGCAGTCAAACCCCAAACTAATCAAGAAAAATACTAGTTTACAACTAGAATTTCTTGACTGAAAGCGAACTAGTTCGAAAATTACCAGACTTGTAACAAGTACAAAACGATTAATTCATGCTGGACTTCAACAGTTTAATACAAAGTACACGAAATATTATAACTTTTATTTGGGTATAATGTAAACCATTAAAGCGAGTATATATTCAATTATACCAGACCTGTTAAATAATGATTAGTAATCATAACGATTATTAATAAAAGCATGTTTTTTTTGGATAACCGTTTAATGATTAAATACCAATATGAGCACCTTTTTAATGATTAATAATTAGTTAAAAATTGTTAATTTATTCATTAATTTTAATTACATAATTATTTAGTTATTTTTGATAAGTTTCAATTATTTTAGACTTTTTTTAATTACACGATTAATATAATTGTTTGATTACTTTCAATTTTCAACCAACAAGCCAAACTATAGACAAAAATTAGTTAGTACTTAGTAAGGATCGCTAACAGCTTCGCAACGTAAGGGAATGATTTTCGTAACAGGACTGATCTCATCCGGAACATAGAGAAAAATTTCACTGCATAGAAATACATAGTTTCGAATGGCTAGAAACGATCTTTCGTTTGGGTCAATGAAGAACCCTCTCTGGCGAACTCATCAGTATCCTCAGTCCTAGAGTCCCAAACTAAATTTATGTAATGTATGTCTATCCAGAAGCGCTTTTCACTACTTAAACAAATTCGATTTGGTTGCAAATAGCTCCGTCCGAGAAAATGGCGATTTACTTGCATGGTAAGCTGCTAAGTTTAAAAAATCAACAACCTTCTCCAATTGAAAATACATACCTCCTAGATATTCCGGCAATTAGATTATGCCCAGGATACTTGCTCCAACTTCTTGAATATTTTTGGATCCATCGTTAATACATACGAATTTACAAACTCCCCGTACCACTTGACTATCGAAGGGAGAAGTATTCTTTCGGAAATTCCATTTCAGGTCACGTATAATTATACCGATTGTAATCGGTGTTTATTTTTAGAAAAACGAATTATAATACATAAATATTTGGTGACCACAATTTCTGATGTGTAAATATTTTAGGTGGGGGCGAAATTTGCGTTAACCCAGCAGAAGATTTGTAACTGCTTCTTCTGTGACCCAGCAGAAATTCTGGAAGAGTTCAGGACTATTTTGGGCGATTTCGGGATTATTTCGGGACCGTTCATTGACGTGTAAAGGACTATTTCAGGACCGTTTTGCGAATTGTTCGGGATCATTTCGGAACGTGTTTGGAATCATTTTGGAACGGGAGTGTTTCAAGACTTGTTCGAGATCATTTCGGGACAAGTTTACGACTTTTTTTAGAACCACTTCAGGACAATTGTGTGGAACTAGTTCGGGATCATTTTGTTGTAGTTCGAAACAAGTCACGAAATGGTTCTGAAATTGTCTTGAACTATTCCCGGAGTGGTTATGAAAAAGCCGAATACACTTCCGGACCATTTCGGGACTTGTTCGGGAACATTTTGAAACTAGTCACGAAATTATACGGAAATATTCCTGAACTTTTCCCGAAGTGGTTACGAAAAATCTTCGACTGGACCTGGCTAAATTAATAAAATCAAATGAAATCCATGTTTAACTTCTAACCCAACCCATTTAAGTGCATATGTAACTGATTCGCCTAATAATTTGCCAAACCTTAATTCTTAATGTGGTCCCATAAATGGTATATGTATTAGAAATGCCATAGCATTTGGTAGGACTTTCTTCTTTCAAATTTTTTCTTCCCTTCTTCTTCTTCAAGAAACTCGATATTTTTAAGATGAAAATCCTGTTTAATAACCAAATATTTTATATTTACTCCGTTTTCCTTCTGTAATTAATACTGAATTTTCAACACTTTCCTCTCATTCCCACTATCCAATCGTGCATACAACACTTATTTAAAGCTTTCAACGACGAACATAGACGGAAAGCATTTCAATACCTTCCAGACCTTTCTCAACTGTCTCGCCCATTTGTTTCTGGTATTCTTGGCATTTCTTAATCGTCTCTCACACAATTTGCCAACGTCTAATCCTTCGTTTCCCAAGCACCCACAGCATTTTTAACATTTCACGCACACATTTTTTCCCCAACAATTTATCTAAACACCTTTTAACCGAATGAAAAAGAAACTAATTTTTATTTATCCTTTCAGTGCTGCGCGACGAATTCCGTCTGGAACCACAGAATACTCGCATAGCACAGGGTGACACAGCGTTGCTGGAATGTGCCGCACCGCGCGGCATACCCGAACCGACGGTCACATGGAAGAAAGGTGGCCAGAAATTAGATTTGGATAGTACGAAGCGTATACGCATAGTCGATGGCGGTAATCTGGCCATACAGGATGCACGTCAAAGTGACGAGGGTCAATATCAGTGCATTGCCAAGAATCCTGTGGGCGTACGAGAATCTGTGTTGGCGACGCTCAAGGTGCACGGTAAGTAGGGGCATGAAATAAAAAAAATACATACATACATACAAATGTATCTAGGGGCTACGAGTATGTGTGAATTGTGGCAGCAAAGCAAACACCTCACGTACATACATATGTATATGAATGTGTCAGTGCGCTTGTCGTTTGCTGTGGCAATTTGCACAGCTGATTGGCAACGAAATTGACTTGGCAACTGACAACTGGCAGCCACAACGACTTAGATTGCCGACCAATGTGTCATGTGTTCGATTTTGTGGCAAGCAGGCGCATACACTCCTACAAATAGACATTTGTATGTGTAGGCCACAAACAACATTTTTATGATTGAGTCACAAAATTTATGGCTAAATTTGCTCCAGTTTCTTGGCTGTTTGCTTTTCCCAGCGCTGCCATTACCTACCACAGTATTCATTAATTTTATTTCTTTTTCCATTTTTTTTTGCCTTCGATTTATGCTAGGCTTATGCCTGCTATGAATTTCTTCTTTTCTTCATACTCTTATTTGTTTGTTTTTGTTTTCGTTATCGTTGCAGTGAAACCGTTCATCATACGTGGCCCACATGATCAAACGGTGCTGGAAGGCTCATCAGTGACGTTTCCTTGCCGTGTTGGCGGTGATCCAATGCCAGATGTTTTATGGTTGCGCACAGCATCCGGCGGAAATATGCCATTGGGTAAGTGGAAATGCGATTGGCAAAATATGGCACAGGATAGCCAATTCTCTGGCTGTTATGTACTAGTACTATATTAGTAGGAAAATACTTTAAAATTCTTAAGAGTAAATATAAAGCTGCAATGTGCCTTAAATTTATTACAGAAAATTGATAAATGAAAGAGTTTGAAGAGTGTGATTCCCACCTTATTGTTGTAGCTTCTACTTTGCCATCCCTAGAATCTGCTAATCCTTAAATAGTTTTCTTCAAGCACAGGGCCCAGGAAAGGTTGGCGAAGGTGGATATTGTCTATTGACGTTTATGGACTGTCTATATAGAGTCGGGTCCATTCATTGTCATAAGTAGTGCTGTAAATCGTTCATTGGTTCATAGTGATGTCATTTCATTTAGGTAGTTCCAACTGGACTTGCTTCTTTTGTTTGGATCTAGTAGAATACTCTCCAACAGGGAAAAGAGCTCACCAGCGGTATGAGTACGAGGCCACGGTGGCATTTTTCTCTTTCCAAGAAATCTATGGAGTCGAAATGGGAGCTTCATTGTTCCTGAGTTTCCATAGAAATCACCTTTCCGTTGTCAAATCAAGGTCTTTAATGCTTTCTGGGTCTTAAATCCATGGTTATTTCTTTTAATTTTGATTGCTGTGCACCTATGTATGACGCTTTCAGCGGCCCTTGTTATGCCTATTGCTTTCGTTAAAAGCCTCAAATGCCATTGCACGTGACGGTGGTTGCATGCTAATGCTATCCTGCGGGAGTAAACTATCTTACAGAGATCATCAATCTGTCCATGGCCACTCTCATCGTACAGATATCTGAAAAACGGGGAGAGGTCCCACTGCTTAAACCGAGGAACCGGCTAACAAAGGAGAGTCTTATCTCCCGATAACCGCCTTTTCCCGGTAGCGAAGACACATTGAGGTCTTGCTACTCTACATTACAAGTACCGTAAAGTGCACAGCACAACAACAGCACTTAACGTCTTAAACACCCAGATAAATCGTGGCCTGAACCGAAACTGACCCTGTGAGTGAACAGCCTTAGTAGCGTTAGATTTGTCAAAAGCGTTTGATACCGTCAACCACTCCACGCTACTAGAAGATATTGAGGGACTAAAACGGTGGTCGGTGATTTATCTGAGTGGTCGACATTCGTGAGTAATTTTCAAAGACAAAACCAGCAAAATTAAGCAAGAGTCTCACAGGAAGGTATCCTTTCGCATATGATGTATAACTATTACATCTCAAAGCTCCCTCAACCAGAAGAGGGAATCTCTATTGTCTCTTATGCTGACGACTGCTCGGTAATGGCGTCCTGGTATTTATAAGTTATGCTCGAAAGTAAACGATTACGACTCCAAACTCCTCAGCAACCCTTTTTACCACCTGTACGAAGGAAGTCAGAAGTTCAGACTACAGCTAGGAATTCACGGTGATGAAGAACTAACTCCAATGGTGAATAGCCAGAAAATTCACGAAATAACCTTCGATAGTCTCCTCCTTCGCATACAACCGCAATTGTCAATAGAGTACATAGGCGTAACAAGGTCTTCAAATCGTCAGCCGGCCGCACCTGGTGCAAAGACAAACAAACATGGTTGGTCACATACAAGGCAATCGGCCGGACTAACAAGACTCAGTGGACGAAGCTACAGCCTACCAGTAGGCCATAAACGGCATTCACAGTGAGTCGGTCTCGGCTTACTCCGACTCTCGTCCTGTTAATGCCATTTTGGGAATACGACTATCTGACGTGGACGAGAAAGAGTTTCGTCTGCTACTCGCGGCACCTCTTCGTATGTCCCCTAAACCCCACTCTACTAACGCCTCTGTCCCTACGGACTAACTCAGTCGGAGTAGCACACTTCTTGGGCTACTTTACGTTGTTTGAGCTTGACGAGGGGATTGATGTGCAAGCAGGCCTTATCAAACCGCTACAAAAATAAAAACAAAAATAACAACAACGATAAAAAATAGGTTCAATTCATAAAAGAAGCACAAAGTAACAATCTTTAACGACATTGCAGCGGTATGAATTTTAAAAGCCTTTATTATAAGATATTAGGGCAATTTATTTTGGGGAATTTTCAACCTTGCTAAAAAATAGAGCTTACCATTTCACAATTCCGGGACAATTTAGCCCTGTTAATTTATCAATTTGGTTATAAAGCGGCAGTAAGCATTTGTTGGGGAAAAGGGGGGATGCAGGTTAAAGTATGACTCGATCAGTCTCAAGCTTATATTAACTAGCTAAGGAAATTTATCCCACAGGATAACCAGCATTATTAATAACGGTTTTGCTATCTCTTAACTTTCCAATTTGATAATCTTACCCCTATCTTCTCAACTTAGTTTCCAATTTTCCAATTTATTTCTTCTCTTTCACGTAGATCGCGTGAGCGTCCTAGAAGATCGCAGCTTGCGTCTAGAACGCGTCACCATTGCGGACGAAGGCGAGTACAGCTGTGAGGCGGATAATGTGGTCGGCGCGATTTCCGCCTTGGGAACGCTAACAGTTTATGGTAAGTAAGAATATTCCTTTCATTTTAGATATCTAGAAATTTTAGCTGCTAGTAACCTTTGCACACCAAACCAACTTATGCGCCAATTATTTTTATTTCCTAAATTTATCCGCTAAAACCAACGCTGCACTACCGTTCCCTGCAACCCGTACGCCTAACTATAGCACCTCCCAAGTTCATACAGCGACCGACTAGCAAGTCTATCGAGCTGGGTGCCGACACTTCGTTTGAATGCCGCGCAAGTGGCAACCCGCGGCCTACACTCTTCTGGACAATAAAAAATAACCGCACGATTATATTTCCTGGCGCGCCGCCACTCGATCGTTTCCAGAGCTTAAACACCGAGGAGGGCCATTCCATATTGACGCTGACAAATTTTCAACGCACCGACCGCGATTTGGTTGTGGTTTGCAATGCAATGAATGAAGTGGCAACTATAACGGCGCGTGCTCAGCTCACACTCGACTCACAAGAAGACCGACCGCCGCCTATTATCATTGCAGGTCCGGTCAATCAGACGCTGCCTGTTAAGTCGATGGCCACGCTTCAATGCAAGGCTATTGGTTTGCCAAATCCAACGATTTCCTGGTATCGTGATGGCATACCCGTGCATCCGAATGCGAAGGTGAACATCACAGCAGCCGGCGATTTGATAATTTCCGACTTGGACCGCAAAGAGGATCAGGGTTTGTATACATGTGTGGCAAGCAGCCGCACCGGCAAGTCCACGTGGAGTGGCTACTTGCGCATCGAAGTGCCCACCAATCCGAATATTAAATTCTATCGCGCACCCGAACAAACCAAATGTCCGAATGCGCCCGGTCAACCCACAGTGCTGAATGCCTCCGCCAATGCACTTACCATTGTCTGGCCGACAAGCTATAAGGCGGGCGCTTCGCCACTCCTCGGCTACACAGTCGAAATGTACTCGACGAATAAGAGTAAGACGTGGATTCCCATTGCCGCACGCTTGAGTGAACCCATTTTCACGGTTGAAGGCCTCAGTAGTGGAGCGGCGTATATGTTTATTGTGCGCGCAGAGAATGCGCATGGTTTCTCGCCGCCTAGTCCCATTTCAGAGCCAATTACGGCGGGCAAATTAGTCGGTGCCGGCAGTAGGATTGGTGGTGGCGCCGCAGGTGGGGGTGGTGGTATTAGTGGCGGTGCTGGTGGAGGCGCAGGCACATCCGAACTGCTACTCAATGAAGCGGAAGCTGTGCTGCAGACAAGCGACATGGTCGAGCTGTTGGAGGCCAATGCCACCGATTCGACAACAGTACGCCTCGCTTGGGACATTGACAGCGGTCAGTACATCGAAGGTTTCTACATTTATGCGCGTGAATTACACTCGGCTGAGTACAAAATGATGACCATATTGAATGCGGGCAGTGGTGCGACGGCATGCACCGTAAATGGATTGGAGAAGGCGAGCATGTATGAGTTTTTTCTTGTGCCATTTTACAAGAGCATCGTAGGCAAACCATCCAATTCGAAACGTATACGCACCATGGAAGATGGTAAGTAGAGTAGAGCAAGAGATGAAGGCAATGTAAAAGTCAATGATTTTTAAAGTTGCCACACGAATGTAGTTCGGTAGAATATGTGAGTGAGAGAGTGTACCAGTGTGTGTATTGTAGCAAATGTGAAGGGACTTTTGTTCACTTTTGGGTTTTATGTGCTTGATACTTGATTAGGTTTCACATTCACATTCCAAAACAATGCACACAGAAAGGCTGTAAACACTCCACCTACACACATAGCGTTACACCTACACAGCTTAAAGTTGCCTAGGCATATATTGCAGACACAATGGACCGGTCTGTGAATGCTGTGATTGTCTTTTTGGTCACAGCAGCTTTAGTTGAGTGATTTATAGCCAAAAATGGCACTGCTCTAAGCGGCAATTTTCATTTAAAACTGCTCCACACTCGGCCCATACACAAAGTGGCCCAGCAGGAAATCCATGAGGAAAAAGAAGAATTTTTTAAATCTTTGAAGTTCTTTGTAGGACTTGGGCAGGACTTGTAATTGAACCGATGCATTCCAGTTTGTCGATAAATTTCCATAATTTTGTACACAGCGATAATTCAATGAATTTCAATATATATTCAATACATATATATTTCGTTGTCTGACTATTAGATACCTGCTTTTTGCTTTATTTACCTGTCTTATATAAGTTTTCAGCTTTGAGAAAACAGTTTAAAAGTGTTAATTAATATTACACCCTCGCTGGCGTCCCGGTGCCAGATGTCCCGATATTGAAAGTGCTGACTCTGCACAAACGTTCCATCGCTAAAATGCAACCCATTCTGAAGATATTAGCCTTGAGAAAATTCTTGCATATTTTAGACGCCAGCTCTTGGACTAAAGCATTTCCTCAAATATCGCAACTTTTTTTCCGAGCTTTAAGAGCATAATTGGTACACACAGGAAATTATATGATGGCGCCTTCAGTGGTATGAGGTATTAACTCATATTTTTTTTTAACTCCTATAACAGTCAAAGTTTCAATGGCTAACTGTAAAATTAGCAATTAGTGAGTTAACACCTTCTTCAACCAGAGGCTTCTTATTTTATTGGAATTTTTTCGTTCCCTATAACAAAAAAGTTTTTTTCCATTTTATTTTTAAACCTTGCTATACTGGAAGCTTAAAATCAAATTCGAACCCAAATTACTTTCAACTTTATAAAAAATAAATGAATCGCTTGACTATTTATTTGGTACAGAATTTTTTGATTCTTTATGTTGTATATCGTATGTAAGTATAAAAACTGAAAATTTGGAGAAAAAATGTGTCTTCTTTTGAATATAAATGTTTGTTTGTTTCTTCGAACAAGTTAAGTATTATTGCTATTTATCAAAATTATTTTGTTAAAAGATATGTAAAATATTTAAAAAACTCATTCAAGGAACAACTAGAAATCTTAAAAGTTTACCTTCTAAGAGGTTCTAAAGAAAATATTAAAATAATTTGTTTTCTTCTAAAAAACGGAAAATACCGAACGTAATTTTATTGGTAGGTAGTACGTATGGACACGTAAAAACGCTGTAAATTTGAAGAAAATAAAAGGTGGCCTTTTTGAGAAAAAAAAAATTTTTTTTTTGTTTTTCCATAAAATCGTGTTAGTGTTATTGTTATAGTTTATCAAAATTTTTCACTTTTATTTATCATTTAAAAAAAAAAATACAAACAATGGGGACAAATAAACTTAGGAGGAAAATTATAGAAACTACAAGGTTTACAAAAAAATTTCCAAAAAATTATTATTTTTGACGAAATCTTAAAAAAATCATAGAAAACGCAAAAGTAATGCTATGAAATAAAAAAATACGTATTCATATATTTTTCAAGCAGGAAAACATATTTTAATCTGAACTTAATTCCCGATATGCCATCGGACTGCCTGCATGATTTGAAATGGATCCAGTCATAAAATAAAAAAAAAATAGAAGTGTATGTTTTTGACAGTGTTTAGCAAGTCGTCATCGAATTGACGATCATTATTACTAACGTATGCAAAATGTGGTTAGTACTCTAGGGTTACATCTATTTTAGTCTTATGAATGTGGCCATAAGGATTTTGGAAGGGAGTAAGAACACAAAATGAAGTACTTTTAAGGCACAGCAAAGCACGCCGGGTATTTGCTAGAAAGTTCAGAAATTTTTAACGTTCACTCAAACTTACCGAGAGTAACAGTTCTTGGCGATATGACCTATCAAAATTGTTAATTTGTTTTTGTTAATTTTGTTTTATAAATGGTTTCTATGTGTAGTGTCGCCTGCGAGTCTTATTGTAAAGTAGTTTCTTCAATTACCAAATTCATAAGAGAAACGTTTGAAATTTTTTGCACAAAGCCAACACCCACACCACACCACACCACACCACACCAAACACAGCTTTAGTACACTTTAGCTCCTCATTAGACTGCCGTCACTTAACATGGGTCACTGCGCTCGTAAATCCATCTACAAATAGTACCTTCACTTATTTACATATAACACATACAAATATACTGGCTGCTCGAAATTATATTAAAGCGTCAATTTCTTTTACAGTACCCGAGTCACCGCCACACGCAATGGAGGCCATACAATTCAATCGAACATCGGTATTTCTCAAATGGCGGCCACCCTATCCGAATAAGACACGAAATGGTGCGTATAAAAATCGCTTATAGCCGCACACATACATACACAGAAATGAAATGAAAATCCGTATCTAGCTTACTTTCCTATTCCTCCCCGTTTGAGATTTATGCAACTCAAAAGTGTAGTAGTAGTGCTACTCCTTCGAAGTGCATCTTGACAAGGCTTGCCAGTATTTTGGCAAATTTTCATTTCA